ACCACCGCACTTTAACTAAATGTTCATGGCTAAAGCATAGCCTGACATGGTCAACGATAATTATTAGGTCCTCACCAATGGATTCACTTGGACAAACTACGCATGACACAATGCTGTATTAGTAGTTTATACCAGCTATATCATATGCCAATCAAAGATTACAGCACTTGGCATCCAATCACTACAGATTATGATGACTGAAGTAACCAACATGGCCATGTGCATCCAAAGTGATTTTGCTAGAAGATTCCATGGGAGTAAGATATGGTACAAGTCTACCAACACCAAATTACATCTGTAACAAGTCATTGTTAATGACATAATTCCTGTTGGAATTATAGGAAATGTTATTCATGCCAAAAGTAAAGTAATATGCACCAAAAGCCAAGTTTGTAATTTAGAGTGAATAATTGGCTGGTCTAGTATCAACAGAAATTAGATGTATTAAATGACTCTTCCAAAATCAAAATATATGGTCAAAAATGGCCAGTCAGCCATCTTGGATTGATCAGTAAACCACTGCATGTGCATACGTTCCAAATAAAGTACAAGGCACATGCAAAGTATAAACAGATTTGGTCCAGAGGGTTCTGAAATACGACTCTGGACAGACGGAGACGGAATTAAAAGTCCCTGATTCAAACTTCGTTCAAACAGGGACTAACAAGACATTTAGTAAGTTCAAGTTGGATCCTGCTTCCTGTGCTATTTTTGGTGTTGTTGCAAGCAAGAAAATGACATTTTTTAATACAATAACCAACAATTTTCTGCAACTCTCTGTGCCAATGTATAAATGTAAGTTGAATTTTTAATTCTGACTCCAGCTTGAGTATAGACAAATTTTAAAACAGCACTGAAAATAAGAGAAGCCAACGAAATTGTAATCCCAAACACGTGACTAGTGATTATGCAACTATGTACTGTGTTTTTGGCATGGTTTCATTTTTTTTCAAGTAATCTGTAAATAGTGTCGAGTACACTGTTAGATAATACGTCAACAAGTGAAACATGTTATGAATGCTGTTTATATGATGGTTGTCATAAACAACTGGTTTTGCAATCTGATTGGTGCCGATCTTGTTGATGATAACTACAGCATTGTGTAAAGCATAGTTTGCATCTATCACCGACCATGTCAGGCTATATTCTATAGCCACTCAATTCCAAAAATGCTCTTTGACAAAAACATTTAAATTGTTATAACCAGGCAATAAATTATAAGACATTCACAGAAGTCACTAACTCGCTATCTAAGACGTCGTCAGCTGCTTACTAAGGCTATCAATCACTTGTTCTAATGTGAAAATGATAGCTCAGAAAAAGCAAATGATTTAAATGAGATTGTTGAGTCCAACACAGTGGTCCTCTGTAATCTTTTCATAGTCCTTGGGTGATCTGGTAAAGCAGGACCTCAAAGGGCTAATTTTCTTTTTGTGACTTGCTATTACTCTCCAAGTCTTGGAGACATTTCCTCATATAGTCATTACTATTAGACATCTCTAGTACAGCATTGTGTACCATTTCTATAAAAAGTCTTGGCCAGACTTGTTGTAAAGCTGACAATTTATGGTCCACTAGAATTGCCTCTGATGTTAGTTCTTTGACATAACTTCTTGAAAACAATTGTCGTTGTCTTCTCTCCTAATAAATTGGAATTGAAAACAAAAAAGCAAGAGGTGATGTAGATAACATAGAATACAATGTAATCAATAAAATGGAAGTTGTCACAACGTTGATAAGACAAACACTCACACACACACACACAGACAAGGTGAATTCAAAGGCTCCCATTGTGTGCTTTGCAGATGGTAGCCACAAATAATGGACATAGAAATGTCAGAGAACTTAAAGGGTCATCTGCTGCATCTTGATACTGTACTCTATCACAATATGATGAGTAACATATACGTCACATATTGTGAATGCTTTCAACAACTCTATGATCAGTGATGTGTACATATAGGTGTGTATATTTTTACCTGTAAAGCTTCACATATAATTTCTTCACTGCAGTATTGCAAACCAGCTCTACCTATACTCTCAGATGAAGCCTTCATATCAGCCGTTAACTGTTTCTTAGCTCTCAGTTCAAGATCGGACAATGCTTGATACTGTTTTCTTTTGGATTCTCCCAATAGTGTTAGCAGTCTTGACTGTGGCAGTTGAGAGGTTGTAATGTGTGACAGAGCACCAAATAATTTCTCAGCTTGTACAATGTCTGATGCTGTTACCTGTATCAAAAAAAAGTTATTTGTAAATTTTTGCACTACCAGATACGTGAAATGTTAAGTTACACAAGAATCTTGTCAGGTCAGTTTATTTTTTTCATGTTAAGAACTTTACTTTTGTAATGAATACATTGACAATACACTCACACATTAGACTGGTCTATTGGTAATTCTTACATTCTGGATGCAGAAAAATGGATATATCGGGTAGATTAAATGATATTTTTTATCATTAAATTGATCAACTTCGAACTAAGGAATAATTATGTTGTAATTCCAACATGGTCAGATTCACACACCAAGCGAATGGATCAGGAATAATAAGATTACCACTCAGATAGTACACAATCTTATTGAACTTTGCTCCTGGATGTACTGTTTTGTATTACTGGAATGGTACAAGTCAACAGGCTAGATGTTAAGTTTTAGTTCAAACATTACTTACCTCAACATCATTAATTTTACGCAGTGAGAAATGTGCTAGTCTAAATAATGTGTAAGCTTTCCATAATGTAAATTGTGTGACTGGATTACCCTCTAGAGATATTGTCAAATTATCTAGTCGTCTTAACACAGATAGTGCATTGATTTGCTGTAAACAGCTAATATTAGCTTCACCAAACATTACAGTCTGTAAAAAGCAAGATATGGTGATTAATCATTTAATTTTATTTATTTTAATGTATTTCTAGTAAAACAAAGATCGTTTTTTATATGAAAATTCTTGAAGTGATCGAGTAATGACATTAAAGGTCAGGATCATCAGCAAGCAGATGTTCAGCACCAATACTAAAACTAATATGCAGACTTGGCCCAAAACCAATCATATGTATTACACCAAGGTACCTATGTACCGTAAAAACTCGATTAATTCGCGCACCCATTTTATTTTCAAACGCTAATTTTCAAATGTATCCTTTTAATTCGCGGCGTTCAAAAACATGTTTAAAATTGTATCCTATTAATTCGCAGGCCAGAATAAAGTGGATAACTCAGAATATATTGCACGAAGACATTAAAAATACACATTTTATTTGAGTTGTTATGTTATCAGTACTTGGTGTAGCCGCAATCGCAGATGATTTCTGTCATCACTGCCTTTCAGTTAGCAAGCAGTTCAGGTTCGGTCAAGATTTGACCTGCAAGAAATCCCCCACGACACTATAGATGTTGGGCAAGATTATTACTTAGTCGATAAATATCCATCGGTCAGCACATCGATTACGAATTTCCGTGATGGAAAGCTTAGTACAGGTCTTTTCGTCGCTGGTCCATAGGGTTGCATCGACCATGTGTCCGCCATTTTGGAAAGTGATTTTATTCTATGACCTGTGAACCGCCCTATGGCGGATTCGGTAAAAAAGACAGAGCTAAGCGGTCATGTACGTTCTATAAATCTAACCTTACACACATAATCTCGTACTGACGTGTTTTTTGTCGAAAAAAGACGTTCCCTTTCATTTAACCCCCAGTTAACTCTTCGCGTTCATGGTATTTGTGAGAGTTGAAAAATTTTTTGAACAAATAACAAGTTTATTTATTTATTTATTTACTTATTGACTCTTACACAATCCCCGGAGGGAAAGAAAATGGTCACAAAGTACAAGGAGAAATATATATATATAAAAAACAAAACAAAAACACAATATACTAAATAACAAATAACAAATACAATCATTAAATTACTAAATAATACAAAATCTCTAAAATACAATCTAATATAAAATTACAAAATTGACAGCAGGCATTAAGATGTCAAGTAAAACCC